GCTGAGAACCACTAGTGCTGGAGAACCACTAGTGCTGAGAACCACTAGTGCTGGAGAACCACTAGTGCTGAGAACCACTAGTGCTGGAGAACCACTAGTGCTGGAGAACCACTAGTGCTGGAGAACCACTAGTGCTGAGAACCACTAGTGCTGGAGAACCACTAGTGCTGGAGAACCACTAGTGCTGGAGAACCACTAGTGCTGAGAACCACTAGTGCTGGAGAACCACTAGTGCTGGAGAACCACTAGTGCTGAGAACCACTAGTGCTGAGAACCACTAGTGCTGAGAACCACTAGTGCTGGAGAACCACTAGTGCTGGAGAACCACTAGTGCTGGAGAACCACTAGTGCTGGAGAACCACTAGTGCTGGAGAACCACTAGTGCTGGAGAACCACTAGTGCTGGAGAACCACTAGTGCTGGAGAACCACTAGTGCTGGAGAACCACTAGTGCTGGAGAACCACTAGTGCTGGAGAACCACTAGTGCTGGAGAACCACTAGTGCTGAGAACCACTAGTGCTGGAGAACCACTAGTGCTGGAGAACCACTAGTGCTGGAGAACCACTAGTGCTGGAGAACCACTAGTGCTGGAGAACCTCTAGTGCTGAGAACCACTAGTGCTGGAGAACCACTAGTGCTGGAGAACCACTAGTGCTACACCACTAGTGCTGGAGAACCACTAGTGCTACACCACTAGTGCTGGAGAACCACTAGTGCTACACCACTAGTGCTGGAGAACCACTAGTGCTACACCACTAGTGCTGGAGAACCACTAGTGCTGGAGAACCACTAGTGCTACACCACTAGTGCTGGAGAACCACTAGTGCTGGAGAACCACTAGTGCTGGAGAACCACTAGTGCTGGAGAACCACTAGTGCTGGAGAACCACTAGTGCTACACCACTAGTGCTGGAGAACCACTAGTGCTTCACCACTAGTGCTGGAGAACCACTAGTGCTACACCACTAGTGCTACACCACTAGTGCTGGAGAACCACTAGTGCTGGAGAACCACTAGTGCTACACCACTAGTGCTGGAGAACCACTAGTGCTACACCACTAGTGCTGGAGAACCACTAGTGCTACACCACTAGTGCTGGAGAACCACTAGTGCTACACCACTAGTGCTGGAGAACCACTAGTGCTACACCACTAGTGCTGGAGAACCACTAGTGCTACACCACTAGTGCTGGAGAACCACTAGTGCTACACCACTAGTGCTGGAGAACCACTAGTGCTACACCACTAGTGCTGAGAACCACTAGTGCTACACCACTAGTGCTGGAGAACCACTAGTGCTACACCACTAGTGCTGGAGAACCACTAGTGCTGGAGAACCACTAGTGCTGGAGAACCACTAGTGCTGGAGAACCACTAGTGCTGAGAACCACTAGTGCTACACCACTAGTGCTGAGAACCACTAGTGCTACACCACTAGTGCTGGAGAACCACTAGTGCTTCACCACTAGTGCTGGAGAACCACTAGTGCTACACCACTAGTGCTGGAGAACCACTAGTGCTACACCTCTAGTGCTGGAGAACCACTAGTGCTACACCACTAGTGCTGGAGAACCACTAGTGCTACACCACTAGTGCTGGAGAACCACTAGTGCTGGAGAACCACTAGTGCTTCACCACTAGTGCTGGAGAACCACTAGTGCCACACCACTAGTGCTGGAGAACCACTAGTGCTACACCACTAGTGCTGGAGAACCACTAGTGCTACACCACTAGTTCTGGAGAACCACTAGTGCTGGAGAACCACTAGTGCTTCACCACTAGTGCTGGAGAACCACTAGTGCTGGAGAACCACTAGTGCTTCACCACTAGTGCTGGAGAACCACTAGTGCTTCACCACTAGTGCTGGAGAACCACTAGTGCTACACCACTAGTGCTGGAGAACCACTAGTGCTACAACACTAGTGCTTGAGAACCACTAGTGCTACACCACTAGTGCTGGAAAACCACTAGTGCTGGAGAACCACTAGTGCTACACCACTAGTGCTGGAGAACCACTAGTGCCACACCACTAGTGCTGGAGAACCACTAGTGCTGGAGAACCACTAGTGCTACACCACTAGTGCTGGAGAACCACTAGTGCTGGAGAACCACTAGTGCTGGAGAACCACTAGTGCTGGAGAACCACTAGTGCTGGAGAACCACTAGTGCTACAACACTAGTGCTGGAGAACCACTAGTGCTACACCACTAGTGCTGGAGAACCACTAGTGCTAGAGAACCACTAGTGCTAGAGAACCACTAGTGCTTCACCACTAGTGCTGGAGAACCACTAGTGCCACACCACTAGTGCTGGAGAACCACTAGTGCTGGAGAACCACTAGTGCTACACCACTAGTTCTGGAGAACCACTAGTGCTGGAGAACCACTAGTGCTTCACCACTAGTGCTGGAGAACCACTAGTGCCACACCACTAGTGCTGGAGAACCACTAGTGCTGGAGAACCACTAGTGCTTCACCACTAGTGCTGGAGAACCACTAGTGCTTCACCACTAGTGCTAGAGAACCACTAGTGCTACACCACTAGTGCTGGAGAACCACTAGTGCTACACCACTAGTGCTGGAGAACCACTAGTGCTACACCACTAGTGCTGGAGAACCACTAGTGCTACACCACTAGTGCTGGAGAACCACTAGTGCTACACCACTAGTGCTGGAGAACCACTAGTGCTACACCACTAGTGCTGGAGAACCACAAGTGCTACACC